TCATTTGAAGAACTCCTTTGAGTACTATTTGTAGAGCTCATTTGGTATTTATAAATTCCAAGAGCTTCTCTTTGGATATGTCTTTATTTCCCCCCCCCATTTTTTAATGTCAATTTTTTTGGGGATAAAGAATTATTGCTTGGAAATTATTTTCATTCAGTATTTTACATATGGTGCTTCATTGTCTTCTGTTATCCAGAAGTTCGGGAAGAAATCTATGCTGATTCTTATGAAAACTTGTTGGTATGTTGGTATATTCTGGTTTTTCTCTTGTTGCTTTCTGATTTCTTTCCTTCTCTTTGATTTTCAAAAATTTTATTAGGATATGGTTGATTTCCCCCTGTTTTGTAAAGTTTAACTAGTTTCTTGTAGGTAAAGTCTTGGTTCTCTCTTAACTTTGAGAAGTTATCTCTGATTTTCCTTTGGGGAATTGTTTCATGATGCATGGGGATTCCAATGATTTTAATGTAAAATTTCCTAAGCAAATTCCATATTTCCTTTTGAGTTGTTCCCCCACCCCCACTTCATTTGTTATGTTGTCTTCCTTTTGAGACTTTATAAACTTAATGGGGAAGTTCAATAAGGGCTTGTAAAGATGGAGTGATCATAGGCATAGAACAATGATAATTACATAAAATATAATGTACATTAATGATTGTAGTTTTTTAAAAACCCAGTAATACAAACAAAAAACCAAGGCTAGGGATTGACCATGGAACAGACCATCGATTATTCATGTGCAAGTTCAAATTAAAGCTGAAGGACAGGAAAAACAAGTCTTTGAGAAACAAAACAGGACCTTGAGTCTATTCCAATGAATTTAAAAATCATTTTTCTTGATTCCTGTTTTAGTAGCCTAAAAAGAGTTTGCAGCTACCATACATATGCAGAGGTAAGAAGAACCACATGGAAGAGGTCACAGCAGATCAGTCCATGTCCCATGACTGGCTTCATCTTGAAAGAGAAAACCTATAGCACATGTCCCGTGATGACTAAGCACTGATAAGGTAAAAACCATCTTGATAGAGATAAACTTACAGGGCATGTTCTCTAACAAGTAAGCAGGTAATTACAAAGAAGGCATCTTGGAAGCCAGTTTTGGACATGCCTACTGATTTGCATAATCTCTCATTTTCCAAGAAAATTTTACCTTTCCTTCCTAAACGCGCTGAATAAGCATGAGGTTTACCCTACAGTCTTAACCTATTATTGTAGTTTTTGTACTGTCAGGCTGGAAGTAACTAAGAGGTACCTTCTAGTAGGTTTTCAGAGGCTGTAAATCTCATGGGAGGACATTGCCCATATTTCTCTCATGAAACAACTGGTGGATTCAAACTGTGTGCTTTTAGATTGTAATGTAGCTTTTTTCAGCGTGGCCACCAGCTTTCTTATATCCTTAATCTACAAATATCCTTTAAAAACATTTCCTTGCTGAGATGAATTTGAGAATTGAAACTTACTGTTTCTTAAATATGTAGCTATTGTGTGCCATCTAGTCAGAACTGACTCAGAGTTGACTCTATAGTGGGTTTTCAGAGACAATAAATCATTCAGAGGAGACTGTACATCTTCTTCGGCAAAGCAAATGGTGGATTTGGATGATGTGGCTTTGGGATTACAGCACAGCTTCTTACCACTTGTCTACCATTTATTTATGTATGTATGTATGTATGTATGTATGTATGCATTTATTTATACACACACACACATATATGACAGAAGAATAGATGCTTTCAAGTTGTGGTGCTGGAGAAGAGTCTTGAACATACTATGGACTGTCAAGAAAATGAATAATTTTGCGTTGGAGAGGGTAAAACCAATTAAGTCCTTGGAGGCTAGGATTTTAAAGCTCCACCTCACTTACTTTGGGTATGTGGCCAGGAGACACTGGTCGTTGGAGAAGGACATCATGCTCAGAAGGGTGGATGGATTGATAGGATAACTGGGGCGATGGGGCCTGGTGTGTCAGAATTAGTGAGACTGGCTCAGGACAGGGAAGGGTTCAGAGCTGCTGTACATAGGGACGCTATACATCACAGGCAACTCAATGGCACAAAATAACAATAACATACTATGACAGGTTTGGAAGCAGGAGTGGCATCCACTTTCTAAACAACATGCCTCCAGAAACTATGAACTTTGATAAATGTCGATAGTTGTAGAGGCTTCAGAACTTTTGTTCATAGAGTCACTATGAGTAGGCAATCAACAACAACAACAACAACATATAATGTATAAAATATAATATCGTATGTAATATATATAAATACCCCTTTTCTATTACTCCCCAAAAATAATAAATTTAACACTTTTTTATTCTAGTTAATTTATTCTATTTTTGGTGTGCTGATTCTATTTTTGAGCATTTGTCTTGTAGTTCTAATTTAGTTGTTTTGTCCTTCAATTTCAGTAATTCAGTAGTTTTTATTTGATGTTTTTAATTTCAGCAATATTAAGTATTTCATTTTGTTCCTCCATTTATTTTCTGATCTCCATTATTTTGTTTTTTGCTTGCAAACATATTTAGCTCCATAGTCTAAAAAGAATTAATTCTTTGCATTGTTTTGGCTCCTATAGGAGAAATTTCCCCTTCTTGCTTTGCTTTTGAGTAATACTTTTCCTTTTGTGATTTTGTGTGTTTTAGTATTTTTGTTGAACTTGTACTTTAGAGCATTTTGTAATATCGTTCCCCCACTTGAAGAACTTCCCAAGGTTACCATGAGTCAGAATCAACTTGGCAGTAACAAGTTTAGTGTCTTCTCTTCAAAATCACTAGAAAGTACTCTTGAGTTTGGGTTGTGATTTTTTTTCTCTGTCTGGCTCCAGGGTCAATGACTTTGAGTTGTGGTGTTTCAGAAGAATACTGAATATCATATGGACTGCAAAAATAATAAACATGCATTTCTTGGAGAGAGTATGACCATGGTCATCCTTGGAAGAAAGGATAGTGAGGATTTATCTTCCATACTTAGGGCACTTTTTTAGTACGGGCTAGTTGTTGGAAGAGGACCTCATGTTCAGAGACATGGAGGGTCAGTATAGGAGAGGAAGAGCCTCAACAAGATGGATTGACATGATGACTTTAACAACCAGCTCAAGTAAGTCAGAGATGGTGAGGATGGTTTAGGACAGGGCTAGGTTCATATTTTGTTGTTCACAGGGTTGCTATAAGTTGCAAGTAACTTGATGGCACATAATAGCAACAACAACAACATTCAATGCATGCTTGCTCCCTGGAATTCAACGCACATGCATGGAAGACAGGGGCTGTTTAGCTGGTCACAGACAGTGATGTAAGAAGTGGGGTTTGCTCTTCCTGTGGAAATGTTGGAGGACCAGTCTTTCCTTCACAGACATTCCATATAGGCTCACTCATTGTGTCTGACTGTGGGCTGTTTTCTTCTGTTACCTCTCAATATGATGTATTCTTCACATGTTTATGCATCTTTATCTGAGAAGAAAAATCCTCTAAAAGGAGGGAGTAATACAATAAAGAGAAAGTGATGGAGTTCAGAATATAAGAACAGCAATACAGGAAAGAAGTGAGAAGAATTTTTTAATTGACAGTTTACGAATACTGCAGAGACCCTACAATGATACAGTCTAAACTGCAGCAAATCTCTTTAGGTGAGATTTTTAGGAATAAAAATGGGAAAGGGAGAGCTTTAGCTATACCACATTACTTGATTCAGTATGGAAAAATATTCTTTAACTCATATCATTTAAATATGAATTATTAATAGGATTATTAATTAACCTTCATAAAGCCAATTTAGAAGAGCATAGATAGAACTTAAACACCTTTCTTAAATAATGGAAGCTCTGTATCACTGAAGTATGTCCTTGGGTGGAAGAAATGATTCCTGCTCAACTACTAGCCTAAAGGCTGATGATTTGAACCTACCCAATGCCATTGTTAGAAGAAAAGCCCAGTACTCTACTTCTGTAAAGACTACAGATAAGAAATCCCTATGGGGCAGCTCTACTCTGTAACATATCAGGCTGCCATAGTCTCAGTGAACTTAATGACAACAGTCTTGTTGACTTTTCTCATCTCACTGGAAATATAATGAGAGTCACAACCTATTTTCTGGGTAACAAATATGAGGGAGACAATAGTGAAACAAATAACTGTGGGCCACATATTATTTCTGCAGGTAGCATGCTTCCTAGCTTCATTTTCACAGACACATAGATGCCTCCCGAATAATCATCTTAAACACATGTTCTTTCAGCATTGTCAGCTTCTCAGACCAAACTGTGCTATACATGAAGAAACACATCCTAGTCTAAAATTATGAAACCATTGTCCTTGAACAAACTTATATTTAGGTCTATTTTGAAAGAATTTTAATTGACAAATAAATTAAGAGGGTTTGTTTCTTTTTTAAATGCCCACAATCTGTTCCTTTAATGATATGTTTCTGGAGTTCTGGGTCAAGATCAGTGCTAACAAACATGATATTGTTTTATGTGAAGTATCATAGCATATAAATATAAATTACTGCATCCACGGAACTATTCACTTTTGTGGTTAACAGAGACATTTGTTCATCTTGCTTTGCTTCCAAGGAAGATAACACCAACACAACTAAGTGAATTTGGTGGATCTCAGATCTTCACGAAGGAAAGGAGTATGGTAATAAGGTCTAGAGGAAAGAAGGTAGACTATTCCCATTCTTTACCCTTCGCATGTTGCATTCACGCTGAAGTCCAGATTATTGGACTAGATCTTTTGGCACATAGATTTTCAGTTCCCATCCTCATCTGAAGAGCTGGGTAAAGCTTCCTGAGAACAGCTAATCATTATTAATTCTTTTAGAATTCATTGCAATAACATCAATCATAGTGAACTCATTTGGTATTAATATGGATGTAATGTGAAAATGAATAATGCACACAGGAGTTTTTATATTCCTATTTTAGAAAAATAGTTATGAACAATGTAGTTCTCTTTCCATTGTCAAATTAGTGCCTCTGAGAGGCTTTCTATCAATTACCTTCATCATCATTCCAGGTGAAATCTTGTCAGAGCAAACATATTTCAAAGGATTATATCCAACTCCATTACAGCATTTCTGGCTCTTTGGAATAAGTTCAGTCTCACAGCATTTTACTGGCACTGGGTCATTCTTTTTAACATGTGCTTTAGACTCTCCACTGGAAGCTGAGCAGCATATGGTATCTGACATATTCACATAATCCTGCCCACAACAGAACATCCCTGCAACAATAAAATGTTATATATGAATATGAAATAAAAAAAGAGGACGAAAACTGAGGCTGCTATAAAGTTTGATATAAAAATGTCAGACTCGGGCAGTTGCTGAAACAGTGCAATACCTGAGGTAAAGTTTCTCTACCAAGGTGATTTAAATGTGCAGTGAGCAGTCCATCTTACCAAGAGCATCAGACACTAATTAGGGAAAGAACAGACAAGAGAAAGCGTTCCAAAATCAATCTGCTGAGCCATTTCCCTCCCTCCCCAAGCGTCATAAAAAGGAATCTGGTTTCTGTCATAAAAACTGCCTGTTCACTTTTTTGATGGTAACATCTTGTTTCTAAAGAAGGTTTGTTTTACTACAAGATCTCATAGAAGGTTCTAGACATTCCCAAGGATGGAGAGAGAAGGTGAGCCGAGCACTCTGTGGATAACTGACCAGGCAGAAAAGAAAGGTAACTGTATCCTGGACTCAGAAACTGTGTAGAAAGACCTTTGCAAGGTCTTACATTCCTTTATTTGTTGTTGTTGAGAAGTCTTAGTGCTTAAAGCACATGGTTTCAAACCAAAAGGTGGTCGTTGGAACCAACTGGCTACTATGTAAGAGAGAGATGTCACATCAGCTCCTTTAAATTTTTACAGTCTTGTAAACCACATAGGAACAGTTTTACTCTATCTTTCTGGATAATTCATACTCACTATAAGTCTGAATTTACTCTATAACAATGGGATACTTTTTTGAGTGCTGTCCTATTTCAGGTCAAAGTTTCTCATAACTATGACAAATAGAACTGCTGTATAAGATGTTCTAGACTGTGTTCTTTGTAAACCCAGACCTCTGGGTCTTTCTCTCACGGAGTCATTGGGTACATTTGATTGCCAACTTTTTGGTTAGCCATCAAGCCCAGAGTTGTACCACCAAGGTTCCTTTGTTTGAGGTACAAATATTTGCTTATTATGAAAGCAGTGGCAATGGTAAGCACTCATTCTTTATGAGATAGGTTTAGTATCCAAAACTGTCTAAGCATGTTCACTGATTAGACTAATTAATCAGGTACTATTTTTGAGCCTTACTGAATTCTAGTACAATCACCGAGCATTGGTGAGGTTAGGGTTTTGTTTGTGCTCCATTGAGTCACAACCAACTCAAACTGACCCTCCAGTGGGTTTGCAGAGGCAGTAAATCACATAGGAGAAGATTGCTTTTCCTTCTCCCGTGGAGAAGGAAGATAGTGGATTCAAACTGTGTGCCTTTGGGATTGCAGAGCAGCTTCTTGCAACTAGACCACTAGAACTTCCAAGGTTAGGGTAGAGGAAGAAAAACTTAGAGGAGACTATCACTCTTTATATCTTGATGAAAGATACTTGCACATTCAGAGCCAAACAGATTCTCTTTTTCTCCTGTAAAGTCCAGCTTAACTCTTGATGTTGAAATTACTTACTTTCAGAGAATATAAGCAGCAGAAATTTAGACAGAAAGCATTGATCAATAAACAAATGTCCTAGAGTCAGATTAAGCTAGAAATGAAGGTGCCTATACCCCTTTTACAGTGGTATAGTAGAATTTATACCCCTTTTATAGTGTTCTCATAGTAGAATTTTTCTCAGTTATATAGCAGCAGAGTGTGATGAACTACTTGTTTTAATTACAATTGTATTTATTTATTATTAGTTTCAACTGATAACATAAAGAACCTCAAATTCAAGGCGCCCAGGGGTCTCGAATTGTTTAGTCTAGAACTGGTCAAACACCTACAGTCTGCAAGATATTCCTAATAGCAGACGAAAGAGTTTGAAATGTTTTCTTATCACTGAAAGTAGGTCCTGGCTTGGCATATGCTTTGAAAAAGATGTTTCTCCATCTATAATCCCTTCTTTATTTTTTCCTACATTAGAAGTATGTACCTTCCAATGGGCTTAATTGTTATTGTAAATTAATGGAAGCTATCAGTTCTGTCTGAATTTTGCCATACCATATTTACGTAAGTGTGAGCCCTGGTAGGTTTTCATCAAGGATTCTTGTTCTGTCTTTCACAGGGAAAGTTCTCATCAATAAATATACACAGCAATGTTATTATAATACCTTGAGTCTCGACAAGAGAAGGTAAAAATATATTTTACACATGCAGTACTTCTATCTATCCACCTATCTGCATCTATCTCTCCACAGCTGAAATAATTTTGTTTGGATATTTCTCTGTTGCCTCCTGCTCAGACATTTAAATACAACCTTGGATGCTTTTCTGTCATTTCTTTTCTCAAGTAGCTTTCTTAAAACAATTCCAGCTTCTGTTTTAAAGAACAATCAAAATCTGAAAACTGGCTCTTTAGGGAAAAGATTGTGCTCTCCCTCTCCACCCCCAAATTACTTCCTGGTTTCACCAGCTTTTAAGTATAATATAAAAATGCAGACATTGACCTAATTTGAAGTTCCTAATCAGTCATCTGATTGCTCAGAGGGACTTTTGACAGGTCACCTAAGATTTTGATAATGAACTGTTTTTACACTTAAAAAAATAAAGAAAGAAAAGGATGCTTTCTTTCACATAGAGCTTCATCTTTGTTTAATGGAATTCAAATTTTTTAGCCCAGGTTTCACTTGCCTAACAAAAAGTGACTCCCTTTCTAGTTTCTTTGGTAAACCATTACTTCTTTAATTATTATCAACCTTGTTCCAGTGTGATAAATTGCTAATTACTTAATACCCTAATCAGCGTTCATTCTTTGCAAAGATAAACTGTGACAGTGCCATTAATTTAAATAGTAATTTCACTTAATGGCCAGAACGGCACACCAGATTTTTATGCAGCATTTTCTGAAGACTGCATCCATCACTGCGATATTCTGACATAAAGATGTCTGACGTGCACTAACTCACTTAGGGAGAGCAGATGTTGCTGAGCAGTTCGGTAGTAATTCCCATAGTGCATCACTTCAGCATGAATGAGCTGCAAATTCAGAGGCAGACAATCTTTTGAAACTGCATTGCAATAACTTTTGACCCCTGCCCAATTCATCACATGGGGCACTTGACTTTTGCACTTTGACACATAGAATACACACTATTAAATATGCCCAAAGTAAAAACAAAATAGGTCATGTATTATTGATGGATGGATCTGCTCTTCCAGAGGTTCTTCATTAAATTTGTACTAAGGTGGAGATTCTCTTTGAACAAGATGCATATGTTATCAAAGTGGTATAGTACACACGGAGCTACTACTATGCTTATTTTTTGGATTAAACAAAAAGTACTGTCTTTCCTTGATTAGGTTCAACTGCATCAGCTACAACTAAGAAAATAAGGGAGGAAAGGGCTTTTTCCCCCCATAATATTATGAATAGTTTAAATATGTTATCAATACTTAATGTTCACAGCTGAAAAGGAAAACATTTATAAACACAGCTGTCTGATGAATCAATTGTTAAATATGCAAACCTGGTACTCCTTTTTTAGAAAAGAAAGCCAGGAAGTATGAATGATCACTTGGAGATAAAAATAAAGCTGCAAAAAAAAAAAAAATAAAGCTGCAGTTAAAACAGAGTTTAGAACAAAATAGATCATTGTGTGGGCGCTGAAATTGACCACGGGACACATTAAAAGCCAAGGAATTATCCATTAGACCTTATGGAACCGCAGAAAACCAAACTAATTCAAAACAACCTTGAAAAATTTTACAAGAATATCTTATAAAACTGGTGAAAAAGCATGAAAGAAAAGAAATGTATACTTGTCTTTACCAGTAGATGTCTCTATGACTACCATCACAGAACTGAGAAAAAATAGAAAAAAATTGCCCCCAAAATCATTGTAATATATGTTATAGCAGTCATGCATTTTCCAAAATTCAGTATGTAGCATAAATATCTTTGAGGAAATATTCTTTCAATATAATTTTAAAAATTATATTAAGAATGGATTCAGGTGGCTCAACTTCTTCCTCTGCAAAGTTACTAAACTCTTACATAATAAACAATGGTAGTCAATCATTCCATGGAAGACAAAGTCCAAGACATGGAAAAATTGTTCTATTCCAAATTCCAGTTTTAACCAGAATGTCATGTCAAAGGCTGTAAGGTGAAATTCCTACTAGAAATAAGACATTATATTCCAGGGGAATATCATGGCCAGTGTCTATGGCTAGTGGAAAACCCTGTCTTCTTTGAATAACAGAAGGGTTTTAATCTTCATCTTTTAATACCAAGGGATATAATCAAGTCTAACCCAAGATTAATGGCCTAAATGACAAGGCTGTATAAACAAACAGGAAGGAGGGGGAGAAAAAAGAGTAATAAAGAAGTTTAAAATATCTTCAAAGGAAATGGTTAAGAATACATATCCTCTGAAATGATGAGCATGACTTTCATCCTGAGATACCTGTATAACACTCCTACACAACTCATCTGCCCAGAGAGAGCACTAAAACATAAACGCTACCCCAGCACTTCTGTTCCAACAGCATCTGTTAATTCACTCCATTTATAAAATACATATTGACAAAGACAACTGAACTGGGACCAGGGAGATTTGATTTGGTGTGAGAAAGTCAATTCAATGTGATTTTGTTAAAGGGCTCCTGCAGGCAAATAAAAGAGTTTAAGTAATAAAGTACATAAAGAGATGTTTTACGAGCCAGCCCGGTCTTGTGGCAGGCACACAATGCCAGGCAGAGAGAGGCCAGTTTAAGAGCAATATTACAAGATGCAAACCCTGGTGTGGCAGGTATGGTGTTGAGGGAAAAAAGGCCATGTGGCATTTAGGAAGGTCATTAAGGTCACAGGCATGTGGTGAGGGGCAGCAGGAGGAAAAGGCAGCCTATTTCCAAGTAAGACTTGCTAGAAGATCAAGAGAATAAAAACATGTTCTCCAAGCCTTCCTTTGGAAAAAAATATTTTCCTGCTGGGGCAATGGGGGTTGGCATGTCAGAATTAGTGAGACTGCCTCAGGACAGGAAATGGATCAGAGATGTTGTACATAAGGTCACTGTACATTGTAGGTGACTCAACAGCACATAACAACAATAACATACTATGACAGGTTTGGAAGCAGGAGTGGCATCCACTTCCTAAACAACATGCCTCCAGAGACCCTGTGAACTTTGATAAATGTTGATAGTTGTAGAGGGGCTTCAGGGCTTTTGTTGATAGGGTCATTCTGAGCTGTGCTCGACTCTACAGCAATCAACAACATCAACAACAACAACAACATCAACATTACAGGGCTATGAAAGTTGCAGATTATTTGGAAAAATTTTACAGAGCTGACTGGTTTTCCAGAATTGTTGTTGTTAGGTGGTATATCAAGTGAAGTATGACTCATAACGACCCTATGAACATCAGATCTGAACCCTGTACTATCCAGTCCCATCTTTATCAGCTCTGACATATTTGAGCCCAGTGCTGCTGTCACCTTGTCAGTCCATCTGGTTGAGGGCCTCCTGATCCTGAACCTTTACAGGCATGATGTTTCTTTCTCAGGAATAAGTCTCTCCTAATATCCACATGAGAAATATCATAGCTCGCTTTCAGAGATGTTTGATTAGCGTGAACCATCGTATTTATGTAAATAAGAGTGTGGTTTTGAAACTTGAGCAATACTGGATCTTTAAGAGTGTATAAAGTTGTAGAAACGTGTTTGTTGTGCATTCTAAGTACTTTTGGGTTGAGGGTCCATAATGAAGACATATCAAAGGTGACCAGGGCTCCAAATGAGAAACAATACCCATTGTACTCTTCTGACCAAAAGTGTGTTGCTCTTTCATATAAATATTTTAACTAGGGTCACCTCACTTCTCATACCTCTTCCTACATATTCATCCTGCTGTCTAAACCTGATATTAATTCCATGATTGAGAGATAAAATGATTAATATCACAATTCTGTAATCATATTGACTCTCCCACAAAAATAAAACAGTGTACAAATCCTTTTTCCTGCTCAGGTTTTCTATCTTATTTTGTTATTTTGAGTTGAGCACAACTCACAGTGGCCCTAAGAACAAAAGGCCCGAAGCCTTTCTATAACTATCATCATTTAACAAAGATCACAGAGTTTTCAGAGACATGTTGTTTAGGAAGTGGATGCCACTCCTGCTTCCAAAATGGTATACACTTCCCATAAATTCAATCACTTCTAATAAATTAAACTACTAACTAGTATTTAGACATATTTTATAAATTCCTAATTTCACATGCTTGCTAATATTATTACCATTATCTCCTTCTTCCAGCTCAAATTAAAAACTCACTGTCATAACTTCAGTTTTACCTCATAGCTATTCTCCTTGCTTTTCTAAGCCATATATTGCAATGAGAGCAGACAGCATATCTTCTCCTCAAGAGCAGCTGGGAGGTTCAAATCATCAGAGAAGTATGACCTTTGGGTTAGCAGCTAAAAACACCCACTATGCCCCCACAGCTCTCTTCCTTCCAATTATATCTTTAAAATTCTACCAATTGTTTGAGGTTCAAATCCAGTGTTTCAATCTCACTTTTCTTGGCCAATTTAATGGAATTATCTTAGCGCTGGGAATTTAGCACCTAGTCCCCCTCTTTTATGCTCTATGTATAATCTCATTAGTCCTATTTCTAACTAGATCATAAATTCTTAAGGATAAAAACAGAATCTTAGCAGTTTTCCAAGTCACATACACATGGAATGGTATCTGAAAGATGGTCACCACATGATACATTTATTAAATGAAGGCATACGGTATTTGATCAATTTTTTAAAGTTACAGGTGGGCAACACAAGATAAAACATTTTACTACAGTCTTTTATCTCTTCTTGATCCACTGTAGTTTAAGGGAGGCAACAGTTTTGTATCCTACTCATCATGTTTCTGTCTTCTCAGATACTTTTCTCACCCTCTTAATCCAGAGAATACTTACTTAGATGCCATGATTTTCTGACAGACTTGGTGACTATGCATTAATAGACTGATTTTCAAACTCTTTGGTCTCAAAACCCCTTTTCAATTCTTACAAATTAAAGAGAACCTCCAAGAGCTTTTGGAGTAGCTATAAACATTTTTAGAATTCAACTAAATGGAGGCTGTTGTGGAAACATTAAATTTATTTTTTTCAGTCAGCAGAGAACCGCCAGAAGTCCAGGCTGGGTTTAGAAGGGGTCGTGGTACTAGGGATATTGTAGCTGATGTCAGATGGATCTTAGCTGAAAGCAGAGAATAACAGAAGAAGGTCTATCTGTGTTTCATTGACTATGCAAAGGCATTTGACTGTGTGGATCATAACAAACTGTGGCTGACTCTGAGAAGAATGGGAATCCCAGAACATG